CAGGCAACAGCTTACGTGTGGAATAAGCACAGTAGGGGTTCACTGCCGGAAAACATTTAGTAATGGCTGTTTTCAATTGTTTTTCCAATTTTGTTGAAATGTTACCAATCCATGGTAGTTTTAAGGTAAACAGGACACTTGTTAGGACCAAATTTTGGGGCAGTTGAAAAGCTCTTAATTTTCATTGAAGTAATTTGATTGATGACGTTTTCTGGATACCCATTTTCTAGTAAAATAGTTTTAATTGTCTTCAATTCGAAATGTAGTTTAGATTTTGAACAGATAACTAGAGCCCGATGGACTAAAGTAGAATAAGGTTCATTTTGCGACTTTTAGGACTGAAAGAATCCCATCGTATGTACTGTCCTGTTAAGGTAGGTTTTCTGTTTATACTGGTGAGAAAACGAAAGTCATCTTTTTCAACTAAGACGTCTAGGAATATTTATAAAATATCAGGTTTGCTGTGTAAAATGTACTAAATTGTGGTCAATAATCTAAGTGTTATATAGGATTAGTAGCATGAATTAGTTTGACTTGGCTATAGATCAGACATTATTAAACATTGCAATAATAGTGTTGTTTTTGTTTTTTTTTGGGAAAGACAGAATTAAAGATCGATATGTTGCTAATGAAATTGTGGAATTTATAAAATAGTTTAGAAAGTATAGCAAGTGAATAAAAAATGTTTATATGAACATATCATACTTGATATATAGTTGTTGCCCACCAGTGGCACAGCGGTATGTCTGCTGACTTACAACGCTAGAAACCGGGTTTCGATACCCGTGGTGGGCAGAGCACAGATAGACCATTGTGTAGCTTTGTGCTTAATTCCAAAACAAAACAAACATATAGTTGTTTCATCTTGTTGACTTCAGTTACTTTCTTACTTTGAGATTATCATGATAGTTACAAAAAATTAGGTAATTTATTATTATCAACAGAATTTTGAAACTTGAATATAAATAATAGCTTTTTACTTGGCTGTTACTTTCTAATGCATTTATCTAATTAATTTTGTAAATAATCACATTGATACCTAATAAGTTAATTTGAAATCATTAAAAGTGAGTAAATTAAAATTTACCATTATGCTGTTTAAAAAGCATATACAAATGAATATCAGGTGACTTCATAAATTCTTAATAAACGTAGCCAATAAATTAAAGAAAAAGACTGTGTATGCATAAGCTTTCTCACAAAATATCTGAAAATGAGAAAGAAGCATGTCCAAATGAGTCTCTTACGTTGTCTCTTGTAGTTACAAATTCTTAATGATGATGATCTTAACTTATAAAAGTAAGTGATTGGTAAATAACTAAAATTCAGAATTACTTGAAGTGGTGCACAATCTTCTATAAATCATATTTTTAAACTTTGATCAATATTTTATTATTTTACACAATGTTATAAAGAGTACAACTAATAGATTATGCTGAAGCCACTTGTGTGGGAAGAGGTTTTTATATTTTATGGCCATGATGTCCAACTAGTCAAACTACATCACTAAAGCCACCTTTTTTTTAGAATGTATGCATATATACTTTCAAAAATATTAAAACCCTACAGGATTATAAAAATTGTCCAGTAAAAGAACACTTCGGAGCTTTTGATGTTTGAAAAACTTGCTGGATAAAAATCTCAAAATCAGTGTATTTTACATTTGTGAAACATCGTTTGTTAAGCATCCTGAGTTATATTATATGATAGTTATATAATAATGATATATTGAATTAGACTTTTAGCTAAAAATTTATTTATTTCTTTAATTAAGTGTAGGCTAAGTCTGTGTATGAACACTAGAAGGGAGAGAATTTGTTTGTAACATGTTATATATATTAGTTCTTATAATTCGAATGTAGCAATTCACCTAATATTGCTTGAATAGTGTAAGCAGCAAAAATGATGGCTTTCATAGTGAATATTACCTCTCCCTTTTTTTTTATCCTAATAAACTATACATTGTCAGTTTGACACTGTGTTAAACTTCTTTGTGTCATACCAGCAGACCTAGTGTAACTCAAAACTGCCTTTAAAATGAAAATTTTAAAACCAGATATGATTCTATAGACTGTAATAAATATAGTCAGGTAGTTAAATGTGCATGTATGATGCAACTCGGAAATTGTGGCCCAGAGGAATGGTCTACATTAAAATTGATTAGCACCAGAAGTGAGCTTGTGGGTTTGAATTTTACTGGACTGAATGTCAATTAGCACCTGTCAAATTTATCAGATTTGTAGTGTTTTACTCTATCCAGAAATTCATGATGCTTGGTAACTGTTTTTGACTTATGCTTAGAAAAGAACACCTTGACAGGTGAAACAAGTGTTTCAAAATTTTTTATATCATTTCTAGAACTAAATTTGTTGCTTCTTCTTTCATTATCATTGTATATACCTGGAGACTACTTCAAAACTGTATATTTTGTGGTAATTGTTATGGTTGTTGAGAATTCCATTACACTTTTATACTTGTATTTATTTTTATCATGCAATGGTTTGATCAGAAAAACTAGAAATCTTGCAAACTCATGATTATTTCTGCCATAAGTTGAAAAGATGGGGTGGATGTCAGTTGGGTTTTTGTGAACCTTTGGAGCACCAAACAAACAAGGGGGACATGCATTGGTGACTCTTAAGTTGTAGTACATGTCGTCTGTGATATCATTGTTCTTTTTTAACTTTAAAAGTACGCTATTCAGTTGTCTTCCATAACATTCACTTATGTTTTTGGATAGTTCTTTGAATTTAGTTTAATCATTTAGGCATTTTTTTTAATACGTTGTAATCTTATGTTTCCATAATTTTGGTTTTTACCACATTTGTCAGCCTTTACTTTGGCAGTTTGTGGATTATTTCATGATTCTTTAAGTGCTGATATTTGGCATTTCATAACGTTTAATGTTATGGTTTTTAAGTAAATAACCATCAATTCTACATGATATTTCATGGATGAAATCATTTAGGTTTTTATTATGAGTCTGTATTTTAGGAAACCACATTCTGCCATTCTTGCCTTTAAAGGTCTTCATATTTCCATTTTCCATGTTCTTATCTTGTTGATCTTTATTTGTTTCTTTAACTTTGATAGATGAGATGCTCTTTTTTATTGTCTTAGTTCTTAGTTTCTTTGATTATTTGTTGGACTAACCTTCTTGGTAAATCTTCTATTCTGCCTTTGATCTCTAAGGTAGCAATGTTTTTGTGTGTTATTGCATAGTTTAGGCCTTTGTTTACAATTTCCTCTTGCACTGGTGTTAGGGTTGTTTTTGATAAATTTACTATACTTTTGCCTTTGTTTTTTGTGTTGTTGTGTTTACTGTCTGTTAGGTTCCTTCTTTTGACTAATTCAAAAGCTGTTCCTCTGGTCTTTTATTGATGGCTGATGTTGAAAATAGATGCTTGCTGTGGGCTCGCATATTATTGAGATGCCTGTGTAGTCCTTATAAATTGATAGTTATTATAAAAGTAAAATAGGCTCTTAGGGTCCATTATGAATCTATTCTGATAATTTAGTTACACAGTTGATCCTGTTCTGCTTTATGTTTCTTTGCTTGCATCTTTTTTTTTGTTTCCTCTTTGCTTTTTTCTATGAGTTTTGTCTGTTGTAGTGATTAAAATGTGATAACAAATATACCAATATTTGTGTTTATTTTCTAAACCTTTGTATGTATGGGTTTTTTAGATAAATTTAGTTCTTAACTCACTCTCTTCTGATAATCCTGAAACTAGTTAGAGTTAATACATGTATGGAATGTTTACTGCTGGCCAAAGGTATTATACATAACTTGTAGTAAAGCAGTACTATACTTAGGAATCTGTGATATACCTATAGCATAAAGTCTGCTAAAGGAATGTTAGCCATGACTGGAAATTTTTAAACTCAGTCTTTATGGATCAAGTGATACTAGCTTCTTTAATACAGAAATTAATATCATAATTACATCTAATGTAGTTTTAAAATATTAACATTTATCAAATAGTAAAAAATTATTTTGTATCCAGCTATAAGCATTTGAAACAGAAACTGAGTGTATTTAACTTCAGTTACTAAATTAGCATTAGGAAATAGACTGTAGTAAATTCAAGCAATTTTTTAATATCAAGAAAACTTTTTAATTTGAAGATAAATATATAACTAACTGAAAAGTGAATTATGCATTTAAATGGATGAATGTGGATAATACTTGCTCATGTTGTAGTTAACCATAAAATTACCAATTTATTTTATACCTTTCACTACCTTTGAGTTCACGTATTGTATCTCACTGAGTAATTTAATGTTATTGCCTGTCAAAACGCTCACTGAAAGACCTGACAAAAGAAATGTAAATTCATTCATTTTCTATGTAAAATACACATGGAATTCCAGCTGTAATTAGTAGGATTAATTGCAGTTTTTGTATTTTTGTTTAAATTCTTTCTGTGACTTGTATCTTTTTAGAGACCCTGTAAGCAACAAAGCTATGGATTTACAAACAATTTGATTAGTTTGAAAAAGTATGTTTACAAACATGGTGGATTCATTATGGATTCCATTTATAATTCTAGGATTGAAAGATTTTAATAAATGTAAACTCTTTATAATAAAAGAAATGAGGAGTTAGACGAAATGCTGTAATCATGTAAAGTCATGGATTTAACATTTGAAAACAGTAGTAATATAGGTGTATCCATTCAGTGCTGGCTATTGAATAGCTCTTTTGTTCTTCACAATTCTTACCACCAACTTCTTCAAAGATTATCAAGTTCATGCCAGGCTTCGAATTTTCCATTGTATGACCCCTAATTCTAACAGATTTCTATATGACCTTTAATAACCTTGAAATTTTAAAGTAACTTAGTGCAAAGTTACTTTTTTCTGACACTGTTTGAATTGGTTAATTGTGTGAATATTTTGAAGCTGGCTCTTTGGCATATTCATTACATTACTAACTGTGGAAGAAACCATATTGACACAATTACTCTACAACGTATAATACAATGATGTGACACTGATGATCTGACTTGAATTTATTGAGAAAAGGAAAGAATATGCATATCATTTCACTGCACTTAACTTAGCTAGCTGGAGAACTCCTCCTGGGTAAGGTCATTAAGATTGAATTCTTTCTTACTTTATAACACTTGATGATATTGGGTTAACTTCAGCAAAACATTGTGTATACTTTTTCCTTTCTGTAATAAATTACATGTAATATGCCTTTCAACTTGTAGTTATACCAGTAGACTTTTAATAAGTTAATACAGTTTAAGTTCAAAATTTTATTCAAACAACTGCTACATCGATTCAGTTTATGTAACAATAAGTGACATTTTAAGACTTAGCATTTGGATTCACAACTGCTTTTATTGCCAAGGGCATAACCTTAAAGTGTGCAAAAGGTTTAATGAGCTTTTTATTTCAGTTGTTAATGACTGTAATGAATATGATTTATGCTGGTTCTGAATAATAAACAGAAAGCATAGTATAAACATACAAACTAACAGAATATCATCAAAAACTTATTCTTAAGGTGACCAATCCGATACCTAATTTTTTATTAATATATTTATTTACTAGTATAAAAGCCAATCAGAAATGATGGGAAACTATTGTTCAATGATTAATGAAAATTATTGAATATAAATAAAACGAATTTGTTTGTACCTCCAAAATGCACCTGTTCTTCATTTATTTCATCAGTCATGAAGTAATTCTTTAATCACCACATTTTTAGTAAAAATTATGCAAAAAATTAAATGTTATCATGAACAAAAGTACTTGTACACTCTGAAAAGACTTAAATAGCACTCTTGAGCCTTTTCACTGTATTCTAGGTCAGGAAGTACAAAACATAGTGCGGATATTCCGACACAAATTTTCAACTCTTTCGACTATAAAAGATATTTGATAGTGATAAACGTTTATTTTTCTTTAGGTTTTAAGGACATGTAGATAATATATGTGTTAAAATATCAAAAGGATATTTAATAATTAACATTTATTCACCACTTAAAACTTTTTAAACAGTCTCTATAATGTTAGTAATATTAGGCCTAATACAAAAATGTAACGTAAGGCTTAGCTGAAACACTACTTGGTAAATTTTTTATTTTGCTTTTTTCTACAACTCACCGTCATAAAACTTCTGTTGAATTAAACTATTTTGCTGTTGTATCACTAAAGTTATAAAAAAAAAAGAATAAAAAACAAACTTTTCTAATGAATCAGCATTCAACATAAACACCATAGTTGGCTTAAGAACAATCAGGTGATAGTTTTGTTGCTAAGTGGCCATAAATATTTTTGAGCATTACCAAAAAAAGGAGTGTGAAAGCATTCTCAATGCAGTGACAAAGGGAATAAGCCTTTATAGTTTGTGATTTTGAAAAGCAAATGAATTTTAGAAGATAATATTGCGAACCACGATGTAGAATTAAGTTATATGATTGAAGTGGTTGTAGATAGCTTCTATCTTGGCACTCTTAGTTTTTTTGTTTGAATTGAAGTAGTTAACTAAAATCTTTGTGATGCAAAAAATTATTAAAAATACTGAAATAAAAAATTAGGCAATTAACTGGATTTCAACAATAAACAGTATTGCTGTTTATTAATAAAGTCCCTCAGCCATATTAGGAATTATTCAGTGTACTTAACTAGAAAAGAAAAAGAATGAAACTTTAAACTATTTCTGAACTTTTATTTCAGGTTTTCTATACAAATTAACAGGAGAAAAACAAGAAAACTAACTTGGTTTGTTGCATCTTGTTTGAAAAATGTGCCTGAAGTAAGCTTATAGCTAAAACTTTGCACTTATTAAATGAGATGATTAAAAGCATTAAACTGATTACTGTTACACTATTCTTATTGTTTACGACAACAAACACACTTAGTTTAAGCACTGGTATCTTTAAAAGGAATTAATTCAAACTATTATATCTACTTGCAGAAAGCATAATCACAATTGTTTTACGTAACCTACTTCAAGAAGAAATATATTATTTGTATTTGTTTTTTATTTATGGACACATGTAAAGAAAGCATCATTGTCTGTGCATAGTAATTATATTTTTGTTAACTATCTTTGTTGATATCACCTTCCATTTTTATTGTACAATGGGTATTGTACTGAATTTAGGTGAACTTTTGACATATTCTGTATATTGTTAATGGTACTGGCCGAGAGAAACTTTTTGGCTAAAATGTATAATCAAGGCTTTGTAGAGCTTTGAATGTAACAAACTATCAATCACTCTCTTCCATTATCCTCAATTGCTTCTGTAGCTACCCCATATGCAAAAACATGTATCTTTTTCCCCCAGGATCTTCAGAGGTTCCAGAAAAACAAAATTGGATACCATATTCAACTTCTGCAACCCAGTAAACCTACTCCTAGACCTCCATAATGTCTGGGTGACCTACCAAGGACATTTTAGCCCCCCTTAGTACCCCAAATAAATAAGAATAGCAGAGTTATGACATACAAATAAGGACATCCATTAGGCCACCCCAATTCTGCCCTGTCAAGATTGCCAGCTTCAAAACTGTGGAAGGATTTCATAAGGAAACAAGTTTACAAACACATAGCATGAATTAATATAGGATCATATGATATTGTTGTTAATGACAAAAATTAATTTAGGTAACTTAAAATAATATGAATGATTATAAAATGTTTTTATGATAAACATTTCACAGTGAATTACAGATCGTTATTTTTAACTAACAGTGATTATATGCATGCACACACCTGTGTTTGTATGTGTGTACATATAAAAATAAAGCAGTTTGCACTTAGAAGTATTTGACTTTATATATAAGCATTTAGATAATTATTGTTGTATACAAACAATTCTAAATAGTTTATCAAGTTCAAGAACTGGGCAACCTAAAGAAATGTTTTTGAACTTCTCACTTCTTTAATAGTATTTACATAGCACACCTTCTTAAAGATTCTTGCATTTAGTCAAAAGATTAACTGTAGAAATGATTTAGAAATCATAGAAAAGGAATTGAGTTGGCTGTAAGTTTATGTTGTTAAAATACTTGAATTTTAGAAATTTGATTGTGTTCTGATGTAGGTGCAAGATTTTTAATTTGAAATGTTATACATAAAATCTCAGTCAAAAACCAGGAAATGATATTTAAGTTACAGTTCCTATTAGTTTACTGGCTACCTAATACATGTTTTCTGTGTTTAAAGTACAATAGCTTCAAGTCAAACCATGGGAGGTGGAGAGCCTATGGATTTGCAACTGGATTACTGGACAACATATCGTACTGAATCAAGCAAGAAGGGAGAAAGCAATAAATTTAGTTTGAAAAGCACGTTTCGAACACTGCAGATTTCTCGTCTTCCCAGTGCTGGTGAAAGTGGAAATTCTTCATTAACTCTGAACTTTGTTACAAAGGAGAAAAGACAGAAAAGTATGTAATTCCAAAATAAGTCTTAAAATATTAATGCCTATCATCTGCTTAATTCCATATAATTAATTTCTGTGTATAGTTAGGGTATAAATCTTCACAATCAGGATACCACACCTATAAGATTCCCAGTTTGCCACTCATTAAATGTCTAATATATTCATGTATGTAGATTATATTTTTATATTCTTTTAAAAGATGCAAAAGATTGTGACAAAAAAAGTTTACTGTAATCCTTACCATTTATAATATCTCAAGTTTGAATTATTATAACGAGGTAAAAGAAGTGCATACAAGACAACAGTTGTACCATTGATTAAAATGTTAACTCACATTACTACATACTTAAGTGATACATTTAATTTTTCATAAACCACTTCTTGGTTTTTAATAACACATTGTTGATTGTATCTCATATTTTTAGTAGTTTTATTGTAATCTCACCAACTAAGTCTATTTTCTATTAATAGCAATTATTGTGAGTAAATTCATGAGGTATTAAATTTTTTTTAATAATATTACACTTACATGAGTGATCATGAAGCACAATATTTTGGTGATAATAATCATGTATATATTTCCAATACAATATCTTATTTCCTCTCTCAAAAAACTTTTCTTGACTTATACTATCGGTGCAAATTTTCATTCTCTACTAGCCTTGATACTCTCACTTATCCTCACATTTGTTAACATGAGACATCTGCATACTAACATGCAAATGATTATGCAGCAACCCACCACCAATACGAGTGTGATACTACCCCCTATTGTAATTAGCCCCCTTTCTAAGCTTACTGCTGTTAACCACTTCTCGATTGGCAATCTTATTGTACAGACATATTTTTCACATGCGATTTGATTAGCTTATGCAAAAGTTTTTTCTTTCTTGCTTTCCAGGTCTTTCATCTTTGTTTCTAAATCAGTTACATTTGTTGTCGGCATATGAAGTGATGGCTCTGGTGCATCAGGAATTGGTCAATTTCATGTTACATTCAGAACAAACTGAAGATTGTCCTATCAAACCTTGAGCAACTATGATAGGTGGATTTGGATAGCCTTTTTCACCCTCCTGAATGTCCCTTTCAGTCATGTATCACTTCAGGGGAATTGCCCAGACCTCCTTCACCTTTTGTGGAAATGATTAACCAGCAATCTTATGTTCTGTCCTTATATCCTGTTTCATAAGGTTCTACCACTGCCATTCTCATGGATGAGCCATTGGTCATTGTTGTTTTCTCCTTCCCCAGATATTGGGGTTCATGTGAGTCATTTTAGGGAAGCAACTGCATTTGGGGGTCTGTATGCCACGACCTCCATGTACTATGGACGATTTTGCCTTTGTTTATTATTGTTCTGATGTTCCTTATTTATGCTCATAGCATATGGAGTTGTCTCAGAGAGTCTAAACTTCTAATTCCATTCACAGGATCTCGTTTATGCCAGCATCTTTTGGAGGCAGTTTGGGACTTACTTCATAAGTGTGTCATTGAATGAGATGATCCTTCTGGTCTGTTTTTGTTCCCCATAAGACAGGGGATTGGTGCCCAGTCATCAATTTATCGTTTCTTAACCACTTCTTAGTTCCTTATGGAGTTGTATTTAGCTCTTTATTGTAGTTTTTACTCCTGGTATCTGGATGATGAAGGTCATTATTGGATGCATACCTCCATCTCCCCATATTCCATACATCCAGTTCATATCTTCCATTTGTTTATCAAGTGTGTGTGTTTCAGTTTCAGGCACTTCTGTTTGGACTATGGGTTCTTTTGGGTAGTCCAAGTGTTTGCCCACCTGATTCATGCCAGAGGTTTTCATTTTCACCATTATATGGAGAACTGGCTACTTCTAGTCTCCTCACATGAAGAATCTGCCATACTTACTCAGTTTATTTTCCAGGAAGATGCCAAGGTGGGTTGGTTTGTCAAGGTGGAGAAGTCTTTCCTTACACCCATGAAGAAAATTTTGGTTCATCTTGGTGTGTTTTTCAACTCAATGATCAGTTGGGCTCAACCTTTTTCTCTTTGGTTGTGGGCTATGGAATATCTTGTTTGCAGTGTCTCCTCCTCTCACTCTCCAGTTGAATGATAGGTACTCTCTTTGGGGGACATGGGCTTCTCTGGAAGCTCTCATTCCTCTTGGGTGCACCCAAATTCGTCATCTCCATTGGGTCTTCTTAGACTAATGGAACCTTGTTCAGGATCCCTTAGATGCTCATCTCACCCTTCCCCTTCCTTCTAGACTGACTCTGCCTGGTGGTTGGATTGGGACATCATTACTATGGGTGTTCCTCTTCCCCCTCCTCACCCAGAATGTCACCTTTTTACAGATACATTTTCTGGTTGGGACATATCTTGACACTTGGGAGGTTTCGGGGAGATGGAGTCTTTCCGAGTCCTCTCTCCATATCAGTCTTGAATCTCCTTGTGGTTCATCAAGCTTTACTTCACTTCCTGTGGGCCCTTTAAGGCCAGTTGGTGATGGTACACTCCAAAAATTCTACAGTAGTCTTGTACATCTCTATACTCAGTCAAGAGACCTCTGATATCAAATGTTGGTTCTCCTATATTGGGCCCACAGCCATCACGTCACTTTGTTGGCATATCTTCTTCCAGGTGCTGTGAATCTTATTGTGGATCAGTTATCACATCCCGACAAGATTCTACCTACAGAGTGATTTTTGGATCCTCAAGTTTTTTAGGGATTGTGCTCAATGGGGTGTCCCAGATTTAGATGCTTTTTCCACTGATGGTAATACACTGCTTCCACAATTTTGGTCTCCTGTTCCTCATCCTTTGGTTGGGGTAGTAGATGCTCTCAGTATGGACTGGATGGGTCGCTATCTTTATGCATATCCTCCACAGCCACGAACAGAACACAACACAGAGTAGTCTGACTAATGGCAAGGACTATTGGGAAGAGATCCTTGCCATAATTCAGATCATTCCATGTTGTGTTCTGTTGGTGGCTCCATATAGGCTAGCTCAAATGTGGTTTCCACTGCTGCACTGGCTTGTGGTGTCACCCTTTCCTCTTCCTTTATCTCTAACACTCCTATGTCAGCCCAAATCAGCCATGTATCATTGTCCAGTTCCTCACCAGAAGGACCTGACTTTAGCATCATGTGGCTTTCTTAACTTCCCATCCTGTCTGTCCTTCCTCCATGATGGTTTTACCACTGCTGGTCTGTTCAACGCGGTTATAATCCTTTCCATCCTAATGTTTCTCACCTCACATCCATTTGTAACCTGGTTTTTTGACAGAGGCCTATTGGTTTCCTCTGTTGCTACCAGGTGGCCTTATCAGCCACATTTTAGGTTTCCAAATAAGTTTGTGTTTTCTGGTCACCATGTTGTTTCGTTCCTTCCACATTTCCCATCCTGCTCGCCCTGCTTCACTCCCTGATTGGAATCTCAGTGTGGTGCCACATTCTCTTACCTGTCCTCTTTTTGAACTTTTATCTTTGTGTTCATTATATCACCTTCTCTGAAGTCCTTTTTCTTGTTCATATTAGCATGCAAACATCATAGTTCAGTTGTTTTCACAATTGATGTCCATTGTGTTTATGTTTCATAGTTTCTACATTCTCTTCTTTCCAGATTGTTACTTTATGCCCAAAACTTAAGCTGTTCGAGAGAGTAATTTTGCATTCACAACCACTTCCTTTTCATCCGTATCCCACCTTTATAACTGTTCTGATACTGGTTACCTCCTTTGCAAGGTCAGGGCTTTCCGATGGTATGACATGCACTGCTCCCTTCCATGATTCCCATTTGTTTATTTCTTGGACTCCTAACCTCTCCCATAACCTTTCTCCTATTATCCTTACAGATTGGATTCACCAGCTAATTTGCTTGGTATGGTCTTCCTTTTCTCCTGATGATTGCCATCTTTTTCATGTTTCTTTTCATCAAATCCATCACCTTACCATGTCCCTGGCTGCACATTTCCATCTTCCCTTTGGGGACATAATCAGCACCGGTAGGTAGTCCGGTCTGCATACATTTACACCTTTGTTGTGGTCTAGGTATTTTTACCTTTCATGTCCCAGAGTTCGGCATTTGGTGATCCAGTTATCTTTTGTCATGACCCTCCTCCATTCATTTTCTTTTCTTTGCAGGGGCCTTTCTCGAATGTTTGGATCCCACTCTGTAGTGAGTGTTGCCTGACCAGGTATATACTTAGTCTTAAATTCACACTGTATGACTTGTGAGCATATAACATCTCAAGTGACCCATGGCATTGAGACTTTTCCTACTACTGACATGTTGTACAATTCCAGAAGCTGCCAGGTGTTGGTTGATCAACTCATAGAACGTGATCTCTTTGCTTTTCAAAACACAATGTAATATAACATAACCAGGTCATATTATACCCACCATGAAGATGGGGTGCTCCACAAGACCGCTAGTATGTATACCTCACAGTATTTTGCTTCATAAATATGTTCATCCCATACCATATACTCGTGGACTAACATGAGTAAAGGAGACAGGGATTACTGCCCATCTCTGATGATCTATGAAATTTGAGGCTCTTCGTATCATGGACCTGATGTACAATTTCAAATGCTACCAGGTGTTGGTTGATTGACTTCATTAATCGCTCTGCTTTTTAAAACAGGGTATCGTGGCCACCCATTGCACCATCTCCAGTGCTGTGGCCCTTTGAACTCTTCAATGTACTTTTATTCTCTTTCTTCTAATGAAGTCCTTGCCACTTACCACTTTGTAGCCACTGAGGTGGTGGACCATGGAGACCTGTCAGCCTGAGAGTGCATAATACCACTCAGTTGAGAGAAGGGCAGTGGCATTCTGCCGGTGTAGATGGCGTGACACCCTTCCTATTGTAGACCTGATGTACAATTCCAGATGCTGCCAGATGTTGAATGTAGCACTCTGCAATATATTGCAGTTTGCCCCTCTGGCTGAGGCACCCTCCTTCCCACCTGATGCTGGTTCCCAGTAGATCTTATGTTGGTTGGAGTCAGACCAACCATATAAGTCCTCACTTGTGTTTGGATGGTTATTCTCCTCCTACTATAGGTTGGACAATAAATTCCTAATGCCATCAGGTTTTGCATTGGAAATGCAACCCCAAATAGCAATCTCTCTTTTCCTACTGTCTACTGGGTGTTGGTTCCTGGTGGGTCTGTTGTTGATTGTGTTGTAGGTGCTGCATGTGGAGGTGGGTTCTTGGTAAGGAAGCTCCCCTTCCCTGCCAGTACCCATTTTTGAGGTGAAAAGTAAAGAACCCCTTTCCTACTGAAGTTCTGATAAATAATCCAGATGCCACCTGGTATTGGCTGAGGTCAAACTCCAAAGTATGGTCTGTCATGCCCTAGCCACTCTACACCAAGGGGTCCCTTTATTTCTGTAACTTTTAATATGTTCCCTCCTTTGTTTCCACCCTTTTGGCAACACATTACTAATGGGTGAAGAGTATACTTGGCTCAGAAGCTGTGAGGTCTCCAACAGGAATGTTGTTTTTCATTCATTTTCACATCCCATGGTTTTCCTTTGGACACTTCCAAAAGAGGGATCATATTTTCACGGGCTCTCAACCTTTTCATTGTGGAGGTAAGATATTGTATCGGAAGTTAACATTTTTCTGAATTGAAAATGTATTTCCAATAGATACTTACCTCCTCTCGCATTTCCCACCTGTTCTCCTCACTTCTGGTGTGGTTTGGTTTGATCTGACCAATCTTGAAGTAGTTAACAGCTGCAAGATTTGAATGGGCGGTAGTTACAATATGGGTAGTGTCGCATTCCTATTGGTGGAGGGTAGCTGCATAATCATTTGCATGTTAGTATGCAGATATCTCACATTAACATACCTAAGGGTGAGTAGGAGTATCAAGGCTAGTGCTGAGTGAAAATTTATACCGATAAAGGGCAGTATAAGTCAAGGTAAGTATCTATTGGAAATACATGTTCAGTTTCGGAAAATGTTAACATATTTATAAGAGAGAGAGAGAGTTTTAGACCATATTATTTCATAATAATCATAACAGAAATGATTTTGGAAAGAAAGCTTTGTTAATTTGCACATGTGTAAATTTGTCTTATTCTACTTAAAATGTTATTGTCTAGTAATGAGATTGGGAAAGAAGAAAGAGAAAGAGAGGGAGCCAGAAAATCGTTACCAGGTAGTTGATGGAGTCCATCGTTTAATTTGTGCATGTAAAAACCCTCAGGCTCCACTAAAAGGTAAATGCTTATTTTTCTTTTTTTTTAATTTTTTAAGGTATTGTTGCTAAACATAACTAATATGCCCAAAGCAATATAATTACATTTAGTTTCATTTCATGGCAATTTGCAAATGGTGGATTTTATAAGCTCATCAAGACAACTCATTATGCCAGGCTAAAACTGTTGCCTTCATAGCAACTGCCATTCATTAATATTGATTATTTGAAAAAAAGAGGGAAAACAAGTAATGAATAAAATAAGGATGATGTATGGATGGCAATGCCAAAAAGTACAGAAACAAGGTAGGGATGAATACACAAATCTATACATAAATAGCCACTGAGTCAATGTTACAAGCTTATGGGAATTAGCCATTGTAAGACTTTATAGAATTATTCAATTTAAGTGTTTTTATTCAAACCTGAATTCATGCAAGTGAAAGGAATTCAACATTTAGTTGTAGATAAAAGTTTTTCTGGGAAATATCTGGCTACTTATTTAGGGATTTTTGTGTGGTTTTGTGTATTCATCCCTACCTTGCTTCTGTACCTTATGGCTTTGCCATCCCTACATCATCCTTATGTTTTTATTACTTGTATAATCCCAACATGGGGAAAAAAAAAATAATATACATATATAAACCAAACAACAACAAATATATTATTAAACACATTCCTCTCTATGCATTTTTTTTTTAATGAATGCAACAAGTTCTAGAATAAGTATCCAAATATATACATAGTGGAAGAAACTGTATTACTTCTAAACTATCAACAGAAAAGCTGAGTACATTGCTAAAACCAAATTAAAGTTGACTAATATTCTTGACATGTGCAAGAAGATAAAGCAGATCCTTGAATGATCAAAAATGCAACTTCTGGATATTCTTACAAGCCAAGAATTTTCGAGACAATCGTAAACAATGTGTAGCTTATGATCCACCTTTCATTCTATAGAAAAGAATAAAAACAACTGTAAAGAGTAAGTTATAGCAGTAAGTTATAGATAATCAGAAATCATTTGGAGGTACTAAAAACGTTGAAATGAGCAGTTTGGAAAGTGTAGGTATTTGTGTAGTAATTAAGTTTTCATACGAACATAGTTCAGTTTACATCAATTCTCCAAAAGCTTGGTTATCAAATGTTTTACAACTTATTATTATTTTCTTTTACACTGTGATTTTTTTTTTACTTGTAGTAACTATTGATGGACTGGATTGGAGTGGAGTAAAATTCTTCCAACTTACAGCTCAGTGGCAGACCCATGTGAAATTTCTACCAGTAGCCATGTATGCTAACTTAGAAACAAACCTATAATTTTCTCTGTGAAATCACTTATAGGAATGAACACTGAACATTAAAAAAGCAAAGAATATTTAAGTAAAATATATGAGTCACTGCTGGACATCATAATCATTGTTGTGGTAGTTCATGATGAATAGACTTTGCAAGAATATTGGTGTTATCTTGCCTATGTTGCTGAGTTTTAGAGTTTTTGTTTTACTTTATCAGGGTGGCTCAGTTGCAGAACTGTTGTTTTGGTATTGGAGAACTTTTGCACCAAAATGGTTGGACAACAGAGTTATTGTGTTCAGTATATTATTGTAGCTAACCTGCAGACAATTGTCACCTTCCATCTGAATGGCTGAATGGAAACTCTGCTGTAATTATTGCAACATTACATTGTTCTCCATGGACTAGAAATAGTGTTGTTTGACAAAAATACTTAATATGTACAACCATTAGGCTAGTATTCTAAGATATTTATATAATTCGTCATATAATGATTAGGTTAACACACCGGTCTGTGCGTAGTTGAAATGCTACAGTAGTAGAGGTATAATCATATTGTCACACTGTGATAATAAATTAAACCTACTTGATTTTGTAGAAGTTGTATTTCGAGATGACACACAATTTTGTTGATATATTAGACAGAAGTGAAGTAGAAAAGTGTTAGGATTGATGATGATGAAATAAGAACTGAACAGGTTGCTGGTGAATATTTTAAAATACTTTTTCATGTGATAAATTTTGCTGCAACTTCTTTGTAAACTTACTTAGAAAACTAAAAGAAAATACACACATACACACACAATTGTAATATGCGATTTTGTCACATTAAAATGTTATTTAATTATTATTCATTTATTTCCCTCAAACTTGTATATTCAAACTTTTCAATTTTCTGCTTGTTATTATGATTTACATATACATAACGTACTGTTAAATATTTCTGAATGCACTTTCGTGAGTATTTGGTGCATGAGTAACATTATGTGTACTACTGTACATCCAGTATTATTATAAAATGTTATGAAGGGCATTCTGTATAATTAGGGAAAATAAACAGTTCTGTGCTTGAGAAAGTTTTTATAAAAATTGTAATTATCATTACCATAATATATACTAGTTTAATTCTGATCATTAATATTCTACTTATCCTAAGTTTTCATCTCATTAGCTTTCCAATATCATAATAATCAGGATGACTTAAAGAAATATGATCCTCATTAAGAGAAACTGCCAATTCTGAAACGCATTGGTTCGAAATATGCGTGTCTCAAGTTTTAATCTTCCATATAATTATGAATTATAATACCCCCATTCAAAAAATAAAACTCAAATAATCTTGGTTGATTCCACAAAATGGTGATAAGAGGATTTGGGCTACGGTGTAAAGAATGCATAATCAAGCCAAAAGTTCTGAACATCTGACAAACTAACAAATGATGAAATAGAAACAAATAATAATTAAAGGCTTTAAAATTCTGAAATTGCAGCATATTTTGTCCTATAATCCATGAAATGACCTTGATCTGGAAAGATATGTATATTTTTAATTGCACATTATAAATAAGTTGCAAAATAACAGCCTTGCACTGGAATCATGAGAATAAAGTAGCTATTCCATTTAGCAGATGTACTCCCTAATTATACAGGCCTGGAATCTTATTTATTTTTTGAGTTGGTATGATAGGACGTTAAGATTATTTTAGTTGGTTATTTTACAATCTGAAGGGTCATTCTCACAACAGTTACATATATAACTGTTTCAATGCTTAATTTGTATTTTTCTGCCTATTAAGTAGACAATATCAAGTTATTTTTGTATAAAAACATCAGCCAGCTTGTACAGATTTGAAATAGATTGCAAATACTTATTCAGGTTACCAAGCATGACCTTTGTGCTAATAGAAGTTGATTTTCCATCACTGTTCATAGTTTGCAGAAAAATAACTTGTTTAGAATTGTATTTTTATATCATTCATACATGTTCTTTTACTAATCCCTTCAGTTTTATAACTAAAACATTATTTACAATTTTCTTCACAATAAACACATTACAGATACATTGTTGATGAGAGTAGATGAGCTTTTGGCAGTTCTATGTGTAGTCTTGTGCAAGTTTTTTATAACATCCTGATAATTCAATTGGTATTCTCACTAAACTAACACATGGTCACTAGGATGATCAATGATCAGAAGCAAGTGTTTAAGAGCCATATGTTCAGCTATTAGGTGTTTCCACCATTTTTGATGTCCTAATCTACCTGTTTCATAATGAATGCTATGATTTTATCATTACAGTTGGTAACATTGGTTGCTTATAATATACTGTGACTTGCCCAGAATTAGTTAAATGCCAGTGGATTTAGTTAATAAATGGTCTATATGGCTATAGAAAAGTTTGATGAATGGGAAGCATTAACTGTCAGCAACCAGTTAGAGACTACAACTTGCACATAATACTACTACAAATGGAGCAATTTCAGTTTTTGAATTAGCTTAAAAAGTTTTACGTACTTCTTTTTTATATATATCATAGATAGTGCCTAAATTTAATGGTTAGTATAATATGCAAATAAACTCACTCAGAAGTGCTTTCATTTGCTAACCTAGACTGTTACTCAATTGGCCTTGATGAATGACTTCTGGCAGCATTTGAAAGCCATAAATTTGAGCCTAGCTTAAGTGTATGAACCTTGTCAAACACCATAGCTCAGTTAGTAATTACTCAGGTAACCAAAATAAAGGATTTAATTTTGCTTTCTGCTTGCTTTTTTTTTTGAGGTATCTAAACTTTTTTTTTAAATTAGTCATGTGAAAGGGAATTGTACATTATACTACCAAACTTTTGTCTTGCGTGTGTATCTCAAAAATCTTATTAGACCTACAATACCTATATGTATTTGTGTGTCTTCAAAATAAATACATATAAAAATATGTTGATAAATATTGCTAGAACATAGGAAGTTTGATATAACTACAAGTAACTTATACAAATTGAAAGTAAAGTAAAAGTGATGGGGAAGGCTGGCATACTTTGAAAAGGAAAATTTGATAAATGAGAATATATTGATGTCTGTGATATGCTGTTGCTCTATGAAATGGAGATAAAATTGTGGCAGAACAGAAAAAATACTGATTCTCATTTGATCTACCCTATATGAATTCATGTGCACTGATATAAAACATTTTATCCATTAGAGCTTCTAAAAACAAGACGAATTTGAAATATTTTATTATGAAAATTATCTTTATTTCAGTGTTATATTGTCAGATTTAATAAAATGTAATTAACAGAAATCAGCAAGTTAGGTGACATCTGTAGGGAAGATAGCAATAGAAATAGTAAAAAATATGCATAGAATAATAATTGCCAGAATATTAGTTGGTACAAAAATTTAGCCATGACATGATAGAAACAAGTTAATTCACATTTTTGATTAGGTATTGAATGTTTTAAGTATCCTTAGATAATCAGTTAATTGTTTGAAATGATATTATATTGTATGTGAAAACAAATCATTAGTAAAAAGGTTATTTCCCCTAAAAAAAAGATCAATTTCTGAAGATATAGCATCTGAATGTTGTGGGAGAGAAAAGTTTCTATGAATTGTAGACTATCAAATATACTTGCATACCCTAATATGTTTAACAAAGTAAAAATTCATGTTCATAGGGTCATAATAGAAAATTAGGATTAATGTGCTGTAAAACTCTCATTTTTGATTTTGTTTCATTTTCAAATGAATATTAGTTAATTAATTAGTTTAGGAATAAAATAACTATCTATTACTTATTGTATAATGAAATAGGTAATTTTAATGTTTCTTAAATTACAGGCTACTCTTTTTATACAATTCTAAAATATGGTAAAACTTGTGTACGTGGCATCTTTAAAAGTGTTTCTATATCTAAGTTAACAGAATGAGAAATTTACTAAATAGATGTCACAATAGGTATACTGTTGCAATAAATGTTTCTAAAGCAAAGTAGCTGGCTTTTGGAATCATCATAATGAAGTCATTATCTTGAATTATCAAGGTGTATATCTAGCAATAACCTTTGTTTCTTATTGGATTCAACTATTGTTTAACTATTTTAATATGACAGCAACATTATCTCTGTGAATCTATAACAAATAATAAAAGACTGGTAAGTTAGTTAGAATCATTAACTTATTTTATCAGGACAGTTGGAACATGAAACTAATATTTGACATTAAATGATGTGATCAGTAACTGTGTGGTTGTTGCTCATTTTCAGTGAAAGCTTTGTATTCATAAACAACCAATAAGTTGGAGAATAAATATACCATATATAAAATTATTTGTTTGAGACACCAAAGTTTTTAATTTGGAACTACGACTTTAATTCATTATTAATTCTAAAATTTAAAGATTTGTCAGTTTTTTAATACTGTTCAACAGGATGAAGTGGATTTGTCTCATTTGTTGAATGATTTAAAAAGAGACCACACATTTTTACATTTATTGTATCAGATATACTCTGACCATAAGGGCATATTATTGTATTATCTTGCTTTGATTACAATTTGTATTTGTTAACCTAAAATAATTTTAACATGCTCAAAACAAGCAACTTAGAATCATCTTTTCTGTGCTTGAGTAACTGACAGTCTCTAATTTAATGGCATATGTTCTAAGTATATAACTTGCTCTATTAAATGGATGTGGATCAAGGATGGAACTGAAATTTCATAAGCTGTGGCTTAGCAGTCAGTTTGAGGGCTTGTAATGTTAAATCATCTGTTGTGGACACAGTGCAAATGGCCTATTGTGTAACTTTTTACTAGAAAAAATCTCATAAATTTACTAAAACTTGCATTTGTTAGGGATTCTGTTTGAATTGTACAACATTTCTCAGTTTATATTTGTCTTAATCTGTAATCTGATGACTTTTTTTTTCATAGCTTTGTTTAAGTTGAATTTCTGGTGAATAATGTTTTATTTTTTACTCAAAGCTGTTTTCATTGATAGAGTATGTATGTTATGCAGCATCACAGTTTTTCTTGTGAACTAAGTTTGTTTTGATTCTCACAATTTGTTTAATAATCTCATCCTCATAACTCATTGAGATTGTACAATTTCATTGTTGCCCAGTATATGTTACAATAGAATATTATGTTGGAAGTATTATATTGTTCACCTGATTAATGCCTTCATCCCAGTACAAATCAAATTGTAGTATGGCATGTATGCCCAAAAAATGTTTGTGTTTTTTCTTGTACAGAGTTCTACTACAATTCAAAACTACAATATGCCTATGTGTTTCACAACAAGAGATGTCTTTATTCATGTAAACCAAGACATCATAACTTTGGAAAATGTTGAATTGGTCAATGGACCTAATCCTTGTAGTTTTCTTGGATGTTGGAATTGGATTTTATGTAAATGTTTTGAGTATGATATTTTTACATAGTGATTAATATCTAATGAAAAAGCATAAAAAGTTGAAACTGAAAGATTATATTTATGCTTTTTTTCATATTTTCTTTCCCTGCACAAAAACCTCACTAAGTAGTGTTGCACTTGCTTTTCAGTCAAATATAATGCTGAAGAAGCAAAGATTTATTGCTAAAGTGTATGTAAAAGGATTTCTAATTTCTTTTATATATAATGTTTTTAGTTGTTTTTTACTCACTACAGTGAACCTATATTCATATAAGATTAGTAAAATATGAAACGTTTATGATAGTAATTTATTCTTCTGAATTATTCAGCAGACAAGCTGTTTAAGATGCTAAAAATAAAAATGAAGTCTGATCTATCATTTGAATCTACTTATTAGCATGCTGCTGATATCTTCAGTGACAAGTGGGTGAACAGAATTGTAGATGGGGGTTTCATATCTATTTTTAATTGTTTTTAATGTTATTGAAAAAGTTAGGTTAGTCTTTAAGTGAATGGCAAATTGCATGTAATTTAAAGTGTTTTTTTATTATGTTTTAATTTTTGTTTCTAGTATTTTGAATTGTTATGTTGTTGTTTATATTGCATTAAAAATAATTTAATGTTGATTAAATGAAATACTAAATATGGAGTTTCAATTTTATTCAAGTCTTTTTAGCCTAATACTATCATATCTTTTTTTGAAGCTTTGAATTTTATTATATTCTAACAATTGTATCATCATTTGAAAAAGTGTACATAATTGAAATGGGGATTAGGCTAGAGTTTAGTTTGGCAAACTGTAAACCTATAATTCCATTGTTCACATCCTGTTCCTGCAAAGTAATGCTTAGCACTTTGAGTATGTGGGTGCATTGTATGATAGTCAAAATCAACCATTGATTAGAGTAGCCCAAGAATTTGTGGTGGCTACTGTTGTCTAGCTGCCTATCCTACAGTCCGTCAATTTAAAAGTAGGGATGGCTAATACAGGTAACCTTGTGTAACTTTGCACGAATATCAAAAATAAACAAGATATTCTTCAACAAGTTTTCTATTTTAAAAAGATTATTTTTTTATCCCAGAAATCACAATCACCTAACTTTAGCTGCAATAGAAGCAAACAGCAAAATAATGGCATTGCATTAATATTTCTAGCATAAAAGAGTTTCTATCTTGGAAAAGGGAAAAATGTTGTGATTATTTTTAATTTTGCTTTATTTACATATCATTATAATGTTACTTCATTGGAGGGCTCTTTTGCACTTTCATATTTTCTTTTTTGAATGGCACTCAGTAAGTTTATTTTTTGCTCTTAGCTACAATTAATGATGTTGTGACAAAGAATTTGGATAGCACTCTATTGTTTTTAAGTTCCTCCATTTAGAAGTTGCAAAGCATCTAGTTATAAGAACTTCCAAATATACAAGAATTCATGAGAAGGTTAAACATCCAATTGTGTGTTTGTCTTTCTTGTTTTAAGCTACTTAAAGTTTTGAATGGAAAATGCAACCACAATGTTAAAACTATGTGAAAGTATGTTTTATGTGATGAGTGACAGAATGCTTATGCTTAATAATCTAGTCTTTAAACTGTAATATAGCATTACCTAGTATCAGTGGCAGTGCCAGCACCCAAATTGTTTTTTTTTGGGGGGGGGGTAAAATGGCACGTGTAATTATGAAGGGACTCATTAAGCCAACATTTGAAGTACTTTGAATCAAATTTTGAAACCCAAAAGTACTCACAAACCTTGGAAAGGATCAGAAGGTTTTTGACCATTCTAGCATATCTAGCTATTTTTTTAGGGGGGGATAACAAGTCCCTTTAAAAGTGGATTGATGAATGATGTTTTTCAGGCATTATTTAATTAAATAAATGATTATTTAGTGCAGTAGTACCATTAGTATAAAAAAGTAGGATTAAAGGGATACCTATTATTGTAAGATATATATGGTTGATTTCTGGCATACAAAAAAAAAATTCCATATAATGGTGCAAATGTGTTTTCTTGTTATACAAATTATATTTGCTCTATGTATGTAGGATTAAGTTTTGGGGAGCAAGAAAAAATTTGAGTGGGAAAATGTCCCCTGTATTGTCACCACTAGATACTATACTGTAAAAACTACTGGGTTTGTTGGTTTTTTTTTTTTTAGTTATTATTGTGCTATTCATCTTATTTTAATAATGAGTAGTATTAATAATTATTTGCATAGAGCCATACCTGAAAGATTTTAGCAGTCTTATTGCAAATTATTGGTTATGATGGCAAAACACATTTTCTAAATTTTATTCAAGTAAGATCCTTCAAACAAAGTCAATAACAAAATTTAGAATATTTATATTTTCCTCCTCAAGTTAAATGGCCCAGGCATGGTGTTATGGCTAGCTTGTTGGGCTGCAGATCAGAAGGTTTGTGTTATGATGCTGTTGCACATGACCTGCATTGTCAGTTGTGGATGCATTATAATAGGGACAGTCAATCCCATTATTCAGTTCAAAGTCCATCTGTTAGCAGATTATACTGACAAGCCACTTTCCTTCAGGTCAATAGTTCAAAATTAGGGATGGTTTGCTTTGTTGGTATATGATAAATCTTTTTATTAATATCATTATCATATGCTTTTTTGATAATTTCAAATCAAGCAGATAATTTGTAGACAACCTGTGCTTATTCTTATTTTTATGTATGTTTTCAACTTACAAATTGCATAATTTTTGTGTGTCGTTGATAAGTTTTATATAGAAACATACTGACAGTTAAAGCCAAGATGTTATGATGCAACTAAGCCTCATAATATTGAAAGCTACATGAACAAATATGCTGGATTCATAGTTAGTTCTAATTTCCACAGTATTGGCATCAAGAGAGTGAGTTATCAATATGGCAATTTTTAGTGCAATATTTGAGAAGTTAATTAATTCATTTATAATTCCACTCATACTAAAGTTTTATATGTATAACATTGGAACTTTTAGATTGATATATGTGAATAACTTTACATAATAGCCATTGAATCAACACAGTGGAATAGCTGTAATGTTCACTATTAGTTAATGATAGTTTGAGTATAAATCCACTAGGTGCATATATCAGGATAACTCGGTTATTGTGTGAAACAATTGGTGGATTTGGAATACAGTGGTGTAAAAAACTCAATTGGTTAAATTAGGAAAGTTTTAAAATAGAATTACTAGGGTGACATCAATGTACCCTCTAATTTTTCTACTTACTTGGCAGACTATAAACTCCTCAGAGCACTACTTTTCCATCCAGCAACTTTTTTAAGTTGCTGAAAGTAACTGTACTCCTCCCTTACCTTAGGACATGGTATTGTTGAAATTGTAGGCTTATGTCTTCCAAACTAAACTATTACCAAATGATTACCCTGTAAGAGGCAGCCTGCTGTTTCCAAACAGTGGTACTGCCAGATTGCTGTATGTTTGTGCATATGTGCATCTTTGAGGGAACATTGGTTGGTACACAAGTATGCCATAAGAATAGAATTGTTTCATTGGTATGTAAGATCATTATTGGTAGTTAGGGAATTTGTACTGGGATGAAGTTTATAATAATAATTGCACTGATGTATATATATATATATGTGTCACGATGGCTTTTGTATAAAATCATTGTTGTGATGATCATGGTTATCAGTGTTTTGAGGGAGTTGTAGTTCTTTGTAAAAATAATGAGGTATTTCAACAGTTTCATAAGTATATAAAGGTATTATTTTGAAATTGTTGCACCATTGTATTTATACATTTCAAGATTTATGTTTGATTGCAAAATCTTTAAACCATCTCCTCATTGTGTAGACTAGTTACTCTTAAGTCTGATTTGGAAAACGTAACGGGCTTAGAATACTGTAAGACTATTATTTGTAGTGTGAGAAAGATGTAGCTAGTTTTGCATTGATAAATGTCTTGATACAATAATTTACTGATACTTCAGATCAAAATTAGTGTTGGATGGCAGTTTACTATTACTAACAACTTACCCATGGAATTAACAGTTTTTCTCATAACCACTAGTATGATCTGTTTGGATTTCAAATTACAATTATAACACATTAACATAATCTCTACTTCACTTGAATACATCAGAGAACCAAAGGAAACAATTTTAAAGAGGTATTCAAACCCACTTTTGCATCAGGTTTTAATCCAAAGCTGGCTATAGGTTACTCAGAAACGTCATTCGATGGCCACTTAGTTCTGATAAGTAAGACTTTTTGAGGCACAAAGAAATTCATAACCACTGTTTATATACTACATTTGTAGTGCTAGTAGTATTGCTAACTCAGTTGTAGTGTATTTTAATATTAACGTTTAATTTTTTAAGTTCAGTGAAACATTAAGGTTCACAACTGATTCCACTGTATTTCATTTAAAATGATGTTGTAAAGATTACTACATTAAGGATATGATGATGTCACATACTTGATACCATTCATATTACTGCATGTCACATTTTCTGATTAGTTACAGAACCAAATGAAAAGATTAACCAACTTAGAATTTTTCTGATTATGAAAATTCACTCATTAAATAAAATATAATACAAGTTATCATCTTGTATAAGAAACTAAGAATCATCATCATGTAGCATTTTCCTCCAAAGATATTTCATTATGAATTTGTTAACTGTGTAATTGCCAATGGTCTAACATATTTACCCTGTGTGATCAGATAGTGCTGTACTGATGATGTTTATGTTATGTGCTTTAGATGCTTAATTGTTCCTTGAGAATGTTTTATGCTTAAGTAAACTTTTACATGAAGATGAACAGTATTTGTGGCATGTAGAGAATACAAGAACCTTACGTCTTTGTGCTGTTTAGCAATCTATGATTTTTGTCTCTAGTCTGTTGTAATTATCTAAGAAATATTGTATTATATAGGTAACGATGTATCAAATAGAACATTGCAAAATGTTTTAATGTTGTCATTTTGAATATGATTTAAATACCTGAGTTATGTATTTTATTATGCAGTAATAAAACTGGATGAAATCAGATTAGTTTACTGTCCTTTTATTTAAAGTTTAAATTATTTGTAGTTAATGCGTCTTTACATGTTTGCAACATTGTACAAGTATGTTTCAATATCTATTTTGATAATATAAAAGACATATATATACATGTATATTACTTGACAAACACATCTTAACAACTCATCACTTCATA